GTCACTAGGAAAAATATCTCCCCGACCTGTCTCTATCATCCAGCTTATACTTCATATAAGGCTTAACCCCTTCATGGCTCCCCCCCCCAACTTATGCTTCATATTAGGCTTAACCCTTCATGGCTCCCCCAGCTTATACTTCACATTAGGCTTAACTCCTTCATGGCTCTCCCAGATTACACTTCATATTAGGGTTAACTCCTTCATGGCTCTCCCAGATTACACTTCATATTAGGGTTAACCCCTACATGCCCCCGCCCCAAATTATACTTCATATTACGCTTAACTCCTTCATGGCTCCCCCAGCTTATACTTCATATTAAGCTTAACTCCGTCATGGCTCTCCCAGCTTATACTATATATTAGGCTTAACCCCTTCATGGCTCCTACAACTTATACTTCATATTAAGCTTAACTCTTTCCTTGCTCCCCCAGCTTATACTTCATATTAAGCTTAACCCGTTCCTGGCTCCTCCACCTTATACTTCATATTAGGCTTAACCCCTTCATGGCTTCCCGAGCTTATAATTCATATTATGCTTAACACGTTCATGGCCCCCAACTTATACTTCATATTAGGCTTAACCCCTTCTTCGCACCCCCCAGCTTATCTTACTTATTATAAAACGCAGATTGTGCGTGTGTGTGTGTCTGTAACGTTTATATGTTGGATCGAATTTCCTACATTTTTTAGCCGCTTTCAACAAAACTTCACAGGACTACATAAAATTACCTTGTGGTGGTTCTAACGGGGCCGAAAATGGGAAAAACACAGTTGTTTTTTAAAATAAAATCAATTTGAAAACACAATTAAGACACATCGTGAGAATGAAAGGGGGACAACTCACCCACGAAAATGTAAACAAAAGAGCATAGCATGATGAAAAAGACGCCGAACTTGACGAAAACAAAATTTTATCGTCTAATATTCATATTATTATTAAAGAGGAAAGATCAAAGGATTTTGGGGGTATTTTTTTACATTTTTTAATCGTTCCTAGCAAGTCTGAAATTTTCGTTAAAAATATTGTTTTTTTTTGGTCAAAAAAAGGATAGATAATCATTTTCAAATTTTTTTCGATTTGATAAAAAAGATTAAAATCTGACTTTGATATTCTTTTAAAAATCAGTTATCATTTTTTCAAAACTGATTTTAATAAAAACAGAAATTATACTGTTTATTTAAAATATTTTGAACCAAGCTTAACTTAGCTTCTGCGCCGAAAAAATGTAATTTGAAAATAAAACAAAGCAGGTCATAACCTTTCGCGTCGCTTGACGAAAGGCACATTCATGACGTTTAGATAACTTACGGGAGGAGAATTCTTTCTACGGATGGAAGGAAGTGAAACTATTTAAGTGAAAAAATTATTTACCTTGTTACTTTTAAGGAAAACTTTCAGCGCTCTAATTTTTTTAAATTTTTTTTTAAATTTTTTTTTTTGTACTTAGCTTTCATTTTTACGTTTACGATGCTTTATGGAAAATATAAAGAAATTAAAAAATAAGACTGTTAATAGTGAGATTAAATTTCATAAGAAAAAGGTATCTAATTAATTTAGGTACCTTTCTTATGAAATTTTATCGAGAAGTGTACATAAAATACTATAATTTTATGTACATTTATTACATTTTACTGTGTTATTTGTATTTCCATTCATTTTATTATTAATTTTGATATTTTATTTATGGGAAAATGTCATAACTGAGATTAATATAAAAATAAGATCATATAAATTAAAGTTTAGCAGTAGTTAAATTTCATAAGATGATACTGTTACTTGTAGGTACCCTTCTCAGTTGAAATTGAAAACTCAAATTAACTTCTCCATACGTGTTTCATAAAAGTAAAGGGCTTAACAGCGGAGAACAATGCTGAACTCAAATAATGCAACTAAATTGTATTCTGGTTTGGTCTTCCGTACTTGATAATTACTGTCCGACTATAAACACAAAAATTACATTTCTTAATTACCATGGCTAATCTGATTGGTCCAAATTATACAATTTTCAAAGCGCGAGACAATGACAATCTCACACGGACATTTTGAAAGGTTGATGTTGCTTTTAACTAATGTTAAAATATTTTAAAAAATTCAATTTAAACATTTTTTAAAAATCCTTTTAAAATTAAAGAAATAAGAAATAATTGTATTAAAAATTCAATTTTCATTGAAAAATTTTTTGCTTTCAGAAAATATTGTCCATATTCATAAAAACAAACTAAAACAAATAAAAGCATTTGAAACTAAATAATATATTTGTTTTATTGAGTTTTGTATGTTACAATTCACAGCTGATTTTCAGGTACGTTGGCCAAAAAAAAACAAAAAACCCAAAAAACATGATTTGCATTCTTCAAAGCCTTGTGCTTTTAACTACTGTAATCACTATAACCGATGGTCTCGAATTTCTAGAGTTTTTCATAAAATTAGTTATGGGGGTGTTAATAAATATAAAAAAAAATTTCTGCCATGACTTTAATAAAAAAAAAAATATTTATAATAATTTCGATCATCTGTGAATAGTTTCTGAAAGTTTCATTAACATCTTACAATTATTTTTATTTTTGCAAGATTTTCCAAATTAATGTGTGTAAATACAAAAAACGCGCTAAAATTATCTATGTTATTTACTACCCCTTGTTGCGACAAAGAGAAACAAGGTTTTAAATCAAAATTTAGAATATTCTAAAAAGATGGAAAAATTTTTAAAAATAATTAAAAAAAATTTAGTCTATCCTCTTCATAAAAACATAAGCATTTTGACGATAAAATTTTGTTTTCATAAACTTTGGCGTCTTTTTCATCAGACTATGCTCTATGTTTTAGCAATTCCGTGGAGTGACTTAGGTTAAAAACCCAGGTTGTTTATGTGTGTGTGTGTGTGTGTGTGTGTGTGTGTGTGTGTGTGTGTGTTTCCTTTATATATGGGATCGGATTTCTTACATTTTTCAAACGATAAAACAAACATCACTCTTTTTTTCGGCAGGTAGTATTTCTTATTGTCTTGCACACTTTTCTTTATTTACATTCAGAATGCTTTAAAAATTTCATTTACAAGACAATTGTTTATAATAAAATTCTATTCACCAATCGATAGACTCATAACAATTGAAAACAATGTTTTTGTTTGAATTTGGGTTTGACCAATTCGTAAAAAAAAAAAAAAAACTAATTAAGACATGCGTGTCTGTCAACCTTAAACAATAATCTTTGTCAATTTTATTTTTCAGTCTTTATGATGGTCGATACTTGATCTATCTCTTACTGTTACATCCCCGGGCAACGCCGGGCTCTACTGCTAGTACTTAATATTAGGCTTGACCCCTTCATTGCTACTCCAGCTTATACTTCAAATCCCTCGTCCACCGCGAGGAAAGTTGGTCTTCTGTGCCGCGCCAGGACATTTTTCTCCCCAGAATCGATACTTCAAATATACAAATCAACCATTCGCCATTGCATGGAGTATTGCTGCCATATATGGTCTGGTGCACCTTCTGTTTACCTCGGAGTTCTTGACAAGATCCAGAGGCGGATATTTAATATAATTGGCCCTGATCTGGCATCTCGTCTACAGTCACTCTCTCACAGACGCGCCGTCGCCTCTCTCTGTCTTTTTTACAAATACTTTCATGGTAATTGCTCCGATGAGCTGCTTTTACTGGTTCCCAGACTTCATGAATTCAAGCGCCCTACGAGGCTGGCATCCCGCTCTCACCTTTTCACTCTAGAAACTTTTAAATGTAGCCGTCTCTTCTACTCTAATAGCTTCATGCCTCGCACCTCTCGCCAGTGGAACACCCTTCCCAATTACTGTTTCCCTGAGAGCTATAATTTCCAACTATTCAAATGTAATGTCAATCGACACCTCCAGTTACCTTGATCTACCCACTATCCTTCTCCTCATCCTTTCTTCTATCACTCCTATCTGCTCTCGCTCCAAATCTTCTGCAACCCCATGCATCTTAGTGGCTTCACGCCTTGCTCGGAGCGTAATGCTTAAAAAAAATTTTAGGCTTAACCCCTTCATTGCACCCCCAGGTTATACTTCATATTATGCTTAACCCTTTCATTGCCCCCTCCCAGCTTATAATTCATATTATGCTTAACACATTCATGGCCCCCAGCTTATACTTCATATTAGGCTTAATTCCTTCATTGCTCCCCCAGCTTATACTTCCTATCAGGCTTCATATTGTACTTTGTGGGATTGTTAAGAGTTAGGCACTGGCATCCATTCATAGTTAAACTGACTCTTCAGCTCTTAGAGATAGGAAAATAATGATGGGTAATATTTTTGTAGATTAGTATGCATTAGACTCTCCACAATCCATAATATTTTTCAAAATCGAAAAATATCGATACTTTAATCATTTTACAAGGGAGTCCAGTTCGTAATATAAATACAAGGTGAAATCGACCTCTGGCCTTTTAGAGAGTTATTTGTTGGTATTTTGTTTTTATTCACAAGTGTCAAGTTTGAAATTGTGATTACGTCATTGATAACTGACTACAACTTTTTCTCACTTTGTAATAGTACGCAGTTATCAATGACGTAAACACTTTCAAACTTGACATTTGTAAACAAAAACAAAATATGGACAACTTTTTAAGAATCCAGGCATCAATTTGACACTAGAACCTACCATCTAAAATAATAATAAACCAATATTTTTCGAATCTGACAAATGCCGTAATATGAGGGAGGTTGAAAGATTGAGCAACTGATTTTTTACGGCTTATCAACCTTTTCAAGGTTATTTAAAGCCGAAACATAAGAAATTAGTAATGGATTAATAAGAAAATTTTGAAGATAATAATAATTATCTGGTACAAATCTTACTATTTGACCCATAGCTGGGAGGACAAGAGTTAGATTTATAACTTTTCCAATGGTGTTTGCACGTAAGTGAATATAATGAACTCGACTAGAATTCGAACTTAGGCCTTCGATTTCACATTCCGAGCCGTTATCTATTACACTACCAGCACATCCAAGCTGGTATTCCTGAGCGGTCACTCATCTAAGTATTGACCATGTTCAGTGCTGCTTAACTTTTGAGATCGGATGAGAACCGGTGTTTTAACAATTTATATAATCGTAAGCCAGGTTGAATGAATGCTAATTTACAAAAATCGATCAAGAAAAAATTCTTCCCTGTTTTCTAGGAGCAGAATAATCAATTTAATTAGTGCCAACAATTAAACATTTCTTATGGCTACAAGAAACAAGAAGTTGTGGAAATCCCTGAACACTCTCATCTTGAAGGGGCAGAGAGCATACAAAATGTGTGAAATTAACAAAAAAGTAATATGAAGAGTTCTACATATCAAAGAATATGGTTAAAAAAGAAAATATTTTATCAATTGTTGTAATTCCAGTTTGATTTATTTATATATTTGTATATTTCAGAATAAAGGTGAAGTGATGATACGACTCATTCTTATAACGGGCCTCCTTTTACTGCCTGGTAAGTATGTTTATATTAAAGATAAAGATAGTATATCTGTTTCTCATAAAACTTAAAAGTAACCGTATAAATATTCTTTTTCTTTGACTAAAATATTGGCTGTAGAAAAAGGAAAGCGAGAAAAAAGCAGGTACCGTTGTCAAAAGTCGAAAAATATTAACTACGAATTGGGGATGTCAACATCAAACAAGCGGTCAATATTTGGGAAGTGTTTTACCAGAAGATGGAAAATGCGACACCGAAATCCGAACGAAAAAAATGAAAGATTAACGGAAGATGCATTTCAAAAGCTAAACAAAAGTAATAAGAAAAAAGAAAATTAGAATATGCGATATCTATCCTCATGTATAATCTGCGTTGTAAGCATAAAACCTGAGTAGAATATTGCAAGACAGCAGGATTTCTTTGGTAACAAAGAAAAGAATACTGAGCTGTTACGTGACATCTGTTCTTTTTACAGCAGCGAATGTTGGACGATTTCCTCAAGGATGTGGAAGAAACTCGTGGCGACGGAGATGTGGTTCTACAGAAGGATGCTAAGGATATCATAGACCGAGCATGTGAGCAACGATGAGGTCTTAGGTTACAAACAAGGAGAAGGCTTATACTTAACATCAGGAAGAGGAAGCTGAAGTTTCTGGGACACATAATGAGGAAAGAGGGGCTGGAGAATCTGATACTCACGGGTCAAATAGAGGGAAAGAGAGACAAGGGAAAACAATGCGTGACATACTTGATGAGCTTGAGTAGGTGGATGAACATGGTCTGGGGGAGCAAGTAGAGGGAAGGAGCTGGCTGAGAGCTGCGAGGGATAGAAGGGGGGGAGTGCCATGATCGCCTACGTAATGAAAGCACATAAAAAGAAAATCCTCATGTATGGCATTGAATGCTCGATATAGATGAAGAAAAGACTAGAGGCGGTAGAAATATGGTCTGTAGAAGGATTAAAAAAAAATCAGATTCACCCCACGCAAGGCAGTAAAGCCACTAAGATGCAAGGGGTTTCTGAGTGTGAGGGAATTAGAAAACGGAAACATTATTGAGAAGCGAGAACAATTGAAGAGTAACAGAAGACAGTAGATAACGATTGATGTTGCATTTCATTTTTATGAAGATCAAAGTTAGCTAGAAAGTATGGAGAGAGAAGTGTGTTCCACAAGTGAAAAATGCTAGAAAAAACAAACTGTGAGCATAAAACTTACGGTTACATCTAGCTAATTCAACTGCGAATTTATGAGACCTTGTTGCTAATCTAGTACTGAGCTTAAATTCATAAAGTCTTGGTACCATATGGAAGAGTTCATCCGAACAATTCCCATAAAAGTGTTTATAGAAAAGTCACAGGGAAAAAACTTTACCGCGGTCAAAAAGTAACTGCAGCCGAGACGCCAGGTCAGGGCCCATAATATTGCTGATTCTTTTTTGCATTTTATTAAGAATCTCTAAATATATAACAGGAACACACATGGCAGCAATATTCAAAGAATGGTAGACATAGATATATAACAGATTCTGGAGAGAAAAAAATTGTCTCGCATGATACAGTGAACCAACTTTCTTAGCATCTAATATATCAATGGATTCAGTATAGTCTTTCTACTTCATGTTAGCCGAGAATATTAGCCCGAGAAGACGCGAAGAGTCACTTTCCTTAGGTTAGCATCAGCCATGCTGATGGAAGGCAGTAAGAGGTCTCTCAGATGATTCATGGAGAGCAGTTTTGTTTTGGATGCATTAAAATTAACAAGCCATTCTTTGCCATTCAGTTAACAACAAACTGTATGCCATTTTTTAGATCGGTTGTCAATTTGACCTTATCGAACTGATCACTATCAAGTGTAAATGATCATGTCATCAGCAGAAATTGCAAGTTGACAGCTGATACTGGGAAATTCATGGATGGAGAGATGAGGATGTCTTGTAAGAAATGGTAACAAAAAGACCACTTATGTTCAGAATAAGAAGGAGACAGTTTCTCGGACGCATAACGAGGAAGGAGGGATTGGAAAAACTCACAAGGCCACCTACGAGTTTGTTTGAATGGATTGCAGACCGGGGAGAAGGCAGGGGACTTTGGCAAAGAGCGAAACGCTGCTAAGGGCCACGGCATATAGAGAAGAAGAAGAAGAAGAAGAAGAAGAAGAAGAAGAAGAAGAAGAAGAAGAAGAAGAAGAAGAAACAGTAGTAGCCAGTAGCACCAGCTGCACCTTGCAGTAACGGCAGTAGCCGGCGTCTATATAAAATTCATGTTGCCAAAGAAACTTCCTCTTTCTTTCCTCGCGTAGACCACTCCCTATAGGCAGTAATGCAAGTGGGCACTCTCTGGTCAACGGAAGATGTATCTTGCCACAAAGCAATCTTGCATTTTGCTTTTGTTTTGTATCATTTTATTGAAAACATATCGAGTGGTATGGATACCTGGTCACAAGATGAAAACATAACTTCACATCGTAAATAGGTTCGAAGTAATACAAAAAGGAAAGCAGTCATGCGAAGGAAAGATAACGAAAACAAAGTGTAAATATAGAGACCGTGTTTCAGTACCACAGACTTCAAAATGTTTTGATTAACGTCTAGTGTATCTGTGAGTTGGAGGGGCGTCTAGTGTCTGTGTGTGTGGGGGGGGGCAAACGTTGGGAAAAAGCAAATCGCCCAAATTAAGTCCTACCTTAACCCTTATCATTTGTTCGCCATTGGTTCGAAAGGGCGCGAGGCAAGAGAGTGTTTTTTAATTTGGCGCTGCTTTAAAACGTCATGTGAGTACAGTAATCTCACGTGAAATATTTTTTTTTTTAAAATTCAATTCATCCCAAGCAAGGCGATAATGTCACTAAGACGCAAGGGGCTACTGGGAGTGAAAGAGAACAAAAAGACTGTAGGTGAAGAAACCGCAACCCTAATCATAAACAGGAAACAAGGGATAAACCTCTACTCCTGTTCAAACGATCTAAAGGGAAATAGCCTCTTACCTTTGTCACTTATTTTTTTGTTTATTTCATTCACGTGTCTATGTGGAATTTTGTACTGATAAACTTGAGTTAGGTCAGAGGATCGTCTATAAATTTCTGTCTGATATCTTTTGATAAAAAAAGGTGAAATCGTAAAAACGTCATTAAAATTATGGCGAGGAAAAATATTTTGAAATATGAAAATGTCCCACTAGTTTATTTGGTATTACAACATATTAACTATTGTTAAGGAATACATCATCGCGGTGTAATGGTTAACAAGCTTGTCTCGCTAGAACAATTACTACTGAGTAGTGAGTTCGATCTTCACCGAGGGCCCCCTTACTTTTCGGCCTTGTACCACATCTAAGCTACGCTTGGAAGATCATAATTAACTATTGTTAGGTTATCTAATATGATGATTTTTTTTTTTAGATAGGCCACCCAATGAGAATTAATCCTGTTACTCAGGGGCTCTTGGACGAGCTTCGCTACCCCATGTGACTAATAATCATAATTAGTAGTTATAGTGAGAAAGAAATAGCAACCTACTGTGGGAAAAAAATCTGCCTCGTCAGTCTTGTGTCGAAAGATATATGATCGTCTAAGCGTGTATCACGCATGGCACATAACTGACTGAGTTATAGTGAAGAGTGTATCAACGCAGAATGTGATTTAAAAACGTTATCAAAAGATGGCATAAGAACTTGTAATCAAGTATTAAACATATTTTAAAGAATTTAAGCGTGTATCACGCTTGGCACATAACTGACTGGGTTATAGTGGATAAAGGCGTTGGTTAGATCCAGTGACAGGATCCAAACAGTGTGAGTTCAATACCCGGTTAAGGCAGTGGAGAACTTTCCGAGGGGAATTAACAGGAGATAACTGATAACTGACATCCATCAAACATGGCACGTGGAACTAGAACAGTCTACCCCAGTGAGCAAAATAAAGGATTCAGTTCGACATTCCAACTACCCGAGGAAGGCCGGAGCGACGTACAACGGCCGGAGTGTATAACGGCCGGAGTGTACAACGGCCGAAACGTTGTAATAAATATGGCGACAAAGATGAGGACAATAGTCCGAATAATGTAAATATATATATATATATGTATGTATGTATAGCACACCATATATATATATATATATATATATATATATATATATATATAGCACACCATAAGACTATATTTCTCCATATATATATATATATATATATATATATATATATATATATATATATATATATATTCAATGTATCGCAAAAGTGAGTACACCCCTCACATTTCTTCAAATATTTAAGTATATCTCTTCAGAGGACAGCACTGAAAAATTACCTTTTGACACAATGAAAAGTAGTCTGTCTGCAGCATATATAACAGAGTTAATTTCTTTTCCCCCTCAAAATATAGCCATTAAAAGCTAAATCCCTGGCAACAAAAGTGAGTACACCCCTAAGAAACTACACCCCTAAAAAGTGAGTACACCCCTAAGAAACTACACCCCTAAATGTCTAAATTGAGTACTTCTTTTCATATTCACTCCAAAATGTCATGTGACTCATTAGTGTAACTATGCCCATGTGTTCATGGGGAGCAGGTGTATTCAAATTTGTAGTGCAGCTCTAACACTCTCTCTTACCGGTCACTGAAAGTTCCAACATG